TACCGTCCCAATGACGCGTTCATCTAGATAAAATTGATAAATAGCAGATTTTTAGCGATGGACCCAATCTTAGATCCATAGGCCAACATTAGAACCATTTGCCTTATGTGTCAAAATTACGTGAGGGTTGAATTTTACACAACCGAAGCATGTAAATTTCAATTAGGAAAAAAATCAACATGTAAGTTTACAAGATAATGTAAATACAGCGATGGAAGTCAAAAGTGACAGTTCCGTTACATCGATATCATGCTGTCTTTTTGCTTCATGCAGTTAAACGTAAAATTACAAGCATCCTATTAACTGTGATGCGCAATAAAATATGTAGTTTCATCGGAATGGAATCATGTAATCAAGTGTCAAGAGTGAGGAGAATTTAGTTAAGGATACCGAAATGATAACAAATGAAGAAAAGTCGGATTCCCACCCAGAATCTCTAAACCGTTTGAAAAAATCATGTAAAATTCAACTATACACACTAAGAAATACCTAATCTTACACGTGACGGAATCCATCTGTGACATAATGGATGAGACGTAAACAAACATGTCATGTAAAATAAAATGCTCCGAGACTGAAAAGTTCAAAAGTACGTTTGATTGAGCACCATTTATTGTTAACAATTCTGCATTGCTGCATAGTACTCTTCCGGTTACTTTTATTCAGCTTAAATTTGACGTGCGTCAAGATAATGATTTTACCTTTTACCACACATATGCTTGTGTGGTTCAGCAGGTACACACTAATAAATAACTAATTTTACATGTAACGGAATCCATCTAAGACATAAAATATGAGACGCAAACAAACATGTCATGTAATATTAAGTGCTCCGAGACTGAAAAGTTCGTTGCTTGACTAAAGGTACGTTTGATTGGGCCCATCGCTAAAACTCTGATATTTATCAGTTGTATCCAGATGAACGCCTCATTGGGACGGTACTAATGGCTATTGAAAATTTTGTCTGTTTCCCCTATGTAAATCCACTTATTCAGCAACATGGTGAAGCAGTCTCATAAAAATAATATAAGATTTGAAGCGGTCTTCCAATTATTGTTTTTTGAAATAAAACTAGAAGGTTGAAGAAGGGTTTGACAAGACTGTTAATAAATGTTTTAAAATACTTATGATTTATGTTACTGTTTAGCTTTCGGCTGATTAAAATCACCAGATTCAGAAGTTTAAAAGCTGAAAAAAAGTTAACGTGGTTAATGTACAACAATTATTCAACTTACCTTACCAATCAGGCTAAGGCCTTGTTGTCCTCTGCTGTCCGAAGAAGTCGTCTCCACTCTACTCGATCCATGGTCACAGTTCGCCAGCCTCGTAGTCTGCGAAGGGTCCGTAGGTCACCTTCTACTTGGTCGATCCACCTTGTCCGCTGCGCGCCTCTTCTTCTTGTTCCTGTTGGGTCGCTATCTAGAACAATTTTCAATGGGTCGTCGTGTGGCATTCTTACGACGTGCCTAGCCCAGGTTCTCCCAGCAGCTGGTGCAATTCGTGGTTCATTCGCCTCCTCCACGTTCCGTCATCCATCTGCACTCCACCGTAGATGGTACGCAACACCTTCCGTTCGAAAACACCAAGGGCGCGTTGGTCCTCCACGAGCATAGTCCAGGTCTCGTGGCCGTAGAGGACCACCGGTCTAATCAGCGTCTTGTAGACAGTCAACTTCATGCGGTGGCGAATTTTATTCGACCGGAGCGTCCTCCGGAGTCCAAAACAGGCAAGATTCCTTGCCATGATGCGTCTGTGAATTTCTTTGCTGGTATCATTTTCGGCGGTCACCAGTGAGCCCAAATACACGAACTCATCGACCACCTCGATTTCGTCACCGTCAATCTGAACTCGGGGTGGGAGGCTAACATTGTCTTCCCTAGAACCTCTTCCTTTCATGTATTTTGTATTTGATGCGTTGATGGCAAGTTCAATCCGTCTAGCTTCAGCCTTCAGTCTGATGTACGTTTCCGCCATCATCTAAAAGTTCCGTGCCATAATGTCAATGTCATCGGCGAAGCCAAGGAGCTGGATGGACTTCCTGAATATCGTGCCACTCGTGTCTATCCCAGCTCTTCTGATCACACCTTCTAACGCGATGTTGAACAGCAGACACGAAAGTCCATCACCTTGCCGTAACCCCCTTCGAGATTCAAAGGGACTCGAGAGTGTCCCCGATACTCGAACAACGCACATCACTTGATCCATCGTCGCCTTGACCAATCGCGTCAGTTTATCCGGAAATCCGTACTCGTGCATAATCTGCCATAGCTGATCTCGATCGATTGTGTCGTATGCGGATTTGAAATCGATGAACAAATGATGTGTGGGCACGTTGTATTCGCGGCATTTCTGCAGAACCTGCAGAATCGCGAAAATTTGGTCCGTGGTAGCGCGGGCACCCATGAATCCCGCCTGGTATTGCCCCACGAACTCTCTTGCAAATGGTGACAGGCGGAGGCATAGAATTTGGGAGAGTACCTTGTAGGTGGCGCTCAGAAGTGTGATCGCGCGGTAGTTGCAGCAATCCAACTTGTCGCCCTTTTTGTAGATTTGGCATACGACAGCTTCCATCCACTCCTCCGGTAATATCTCCTCCTCTCAAATCTGGGCAATTACCCAGTGCAGCGCTCTAGCCAGTGCTTCACCACCGTATTTTAATAGCTCACTTGGTAGTTGATCTACACTAGGGTGTTTCATTTTGAAAAAAGTGATGAATTTTTGATAGGCCACCCTCCAGTTCGATTCATAGCCCCAAAATATGAACCTGTGCAAAAAATGGTAAAGATTGATGAAGGTTTAGAGGTCGCGCCAATGATTTGGATTTTGTATGGAGATTTTGGTGAATTAGTATGGGAAATTATTGATTTTCGTTTACATTGCTCTAACTTTGGTTGTAGTTGTCCAAACGTTGAAAAAAAAAAATATGTGGTTGTCATGACAATGATCAACAAGCCTGTTGTTGTTGCGATGAAATTGGCGTTGTTGCCTTGTACATATTCATCTGTCAATTTACCCTATTTTGCCATTTTTTCACATTTTTATAATTCTTGATACGCTGCAAAACTGAGCGTAGCAACTGTAGGCTTTTTGTTTATTGCCATAGCAATAACATACTAAATTTTTTCGACATTTGGACAAGTAGAAGCAAAGTTATAGCGATATAAGCGATTTTTTAAATTCTTCCATAGTAATACAATACAAATTTCAAATCATTGGCGCGACCTCTAAACCTTCATCAATCTTTACCAATTTTTGCACAGGTTCATATTTTGGGGCTATGAATCGAACTGGAGGGTGGCCCATCAGAAATTCATCACTTTTTTCAGAATGAAGCACCCTAATCTACACCAGTTGCTTTGTTGTTCTTCAGCCGACGGATCTCCTCCTCAACTTCTTGAAAATCAGGGGCCGGTAGCCTGTCGTCTTCTGCGCGTGCTCCAAGGTCTGTTGCCGTGCCACCTTCGTTTTCTGCTGCTTCACCGTTAAGGTGCTCGTCATAGTACTGCTTCCACCTCTCAATCACCTCACACTCGTTCGTGAGAAGGTTACCGTCCAAGTCCTTGCACATATCGGCTTGCGGCACGTAGCCTTTGCGCGAACTATTTAGCTTCTCAATTATTCAAACAAAGGCCAAATTAAAATCATTGAAGTTTTGATAAGCATCACATTTTTAGCTGGGACACGTCATTAACGCTAGATCTGGTGCAAATTTTTACTTGATATCTGTTAACAATTTCCTTGTTTATGCCAATTTTAACTTAAAATTAAACGAACAGAAATTGAACGCAACAGTTAAAATTTAGATTTTTTTCTGTGTGGGATTTTATTTTAAAGTCTTAAATTCAAGAGAGAAAGCAAATAAAAATCCTTTTCCCACTGACAAATCGTTTTGATACAGTGGTGATGTGGTGGAAATGTAGGAAGTTGATAACTGGTATTAAAATAATTCTTCTTGAACATGAATAAGTTTGCAATACAGCAATAGTCGTGTAATTTAAAGTGAGCGTGTAAAATTACTAGCTCAGTCCTAAAACAATTCATGTAAAATTCAGTCGAACTCAAATTTAACATGCATTTCACACTTTCAAAATAATTTGTATGTCATAATAAATCATTGACATCATGCATCAGTCAATCGCAAACTGTATGTCATCGAAATCATGGAGATATGCATTACATAAAAGAAAACAATCGATTAATCAATCCTGTTTACGAATATGGAAATAGCTTACAAAATGTTCGACTCGATCGACTACATTTCAAATGAATAATAACGGTAAAGGTAACCATCCCTTTGATGGTCTCTTTTTATTTTGTTTATCTTGGTAAACCATAGAAAACAGTCAAGTTGATCCATAAGGTTGATTTGGTTATTTTAAATTTTTGTTTAAATTTTGTTTTATTTTTTGTTAAAACTTTTGTTTTTGTGAAAAATTCTCCAGCATCTTCGAACATAATGCATCGACTATTATCTACATGGGTGGAGGCGGGAGTGGTAGAAGGGGGGGGGGGGGGGGGTTGGAACAACCGCATATCAAATGTAACATTTATGGAAAAAATGCTGGATTTCAGAGATCCAGTACCATCCACTGATCCAAATGACTTTGTTTTACGTTGTTCCGTCGATTTATAGTTTGATTTTTCAGCAAGATGGAATTAAATTAAATTATCATTGTGCTGGATAAAAAATGGTACATAAAAGATTAGGTATCTTACCTTTTATCTCATCCTACGTCAACCTTCAGAAGTATACAAGAGGACTTTAAAACTTGTTTTTGTGAATGATGAAGATTATAAGATAAATCCTACTTGTCCCGTAGGATTGTAAATTAGAAACCGGGTGTTGGACTTCTTTCTATCTCCTTCAATTCTCTGTTTCCATTTTTGTTTCACTCTCGGTACAAATGAGTTATGATGTTAGAGTTTAATGTGGTTTTCGACTTCAAGGTTTATCTGTGTGTATGTGCTGTGTTAATTTGCCATCCACCGTAACGTATGCTGGAGATTTCAGATTTATGCAGAGTCATTAAATGGTCCAGAACGATATAAAATGTGGACGGGATGGGACTAGACAACCAGTCTACTAGCAGCATCAATCCGGAGCAGAAATGAAATCATTCGTCTGTGTAATTCTAGTCGCCGTCCTGGTGGGAGTCAATGTGAGTATCCTTTCTTATTGATGCATAGAGATAGCAATTAATCAACGCATCAAATTCCAGGCTCTAACCGAGGAACAACTCAAGAAAGCCGACAGTTTTGCCGTCGAGTGCCTGGAGAAATCGAATGGAGTGTCCAGCGAGACTGTGAGCAAGCTGCGCAGTGGTGATTTTGCTGACGTCAATCGGGACTCGAAATGTTTTGTGCAATGCTTCTTGGAACGAGCCGGCTTCATGGATGCCGATGGAAATCTGGTTGATGACTATGCCATTGAACGACTATCGTTGGACCGCGAGAAGAGCAAGGTCGAAGCTTTGGTTAAGAAATGCAGCAACAAGATGGATGATCCATGTGACACCGCCTTCCGTGCTTTCGAGTGCTATTACAATGGGAAATCTTCGTTGTTCTGAATGTGATACTGCAATAAAATGTGATGTGATTTAACGATGGAAATAATGTTTGTTCTTTTCTTCTAACACGTTCATTATGTTCTGCACTACCATTCAACCTCTGTCAGGAAATCTCTGTTGGTGTTTTTTTTCTGATGAGTCTTTGAAGATGTTTCTAATTCTAATTGCATGACATTTAATTTTTTGGCGCCATATAATTTTTATCTTGGTGCAGGGACAGGACGCTTAAGTTAGCCTATATTTTAAAGCACGGAGTCAAGTAATTAGACAAACAGTAAATAATTGTTTTTAAGAGATCCCTCCACGAAAGTATTTTAACTGTGGCGAGTGATAACCATGAAGTCCCATGCCATATATCACAATATAGTTTCTTTTCTATAAATAAAAATTAAATGGTGTTCGTTTGTCACGCTATAACTCGGGAATGGATTGCCAGATTTTAAAGATTCTTTTTTGTTTTTGTTCGTCTTGCACTCCGACGGGTTTATGCCGAACAATTAGGTAGTACGTCGTTTGCCGGGTGCGCTAGTTAGATATTCATGTATTATAATAGCTCTTACGATTTGTATTGAGATCCCCAACAAATGTGCCAAATTTGATTGAATTTAGTTACGGTCTGGATTTGCGTGAAAGTTTTATAATTTGTAGGAGAAAATGTCCGAAGCTGTTCAATCGCTGGTCATTAATCCAAAAATCACTCAGTTTTTGCCAAACCTGGAACTTAGAATAATAAAACTATGCAGAACAACTTCATTGAATACCGCAATTAAATTCGACCTCGGTACAAAAAGTTGCTAGTTTTTAATGATGGCCATGTGTTCGGTGTATATCTACTGAGGTGCACATAAGCTTGTATGAATGCGATGAGCACCAGGGTGACAGGAAAAAAAATTGCACAGAAGTCAAATCGATTTGCGGTCTTCAACGAACGTGTTCTGTATATCTTTTTTCAGTCCCAGGTTTGGTGAAAATTGAGCAACTTTTTTTAATTTTGTCAAGCAAATCAATAGCGTTTCCCATACAAACTTTGAAGCTCTTCCGCAAATCCAGATCGTAACCAAACTCACTCAAATTTGGCATAGCTGCTGGGGATCCCAATACGATTCGGAAGCGCTGTGAGGAGCCGGGAGTTCTGGTCCACCATATAAATTTGGCCCACCTTAATGTTCAATCTACTCACTCCATGTGACTGATACATCTTCGATACATAAGCGTTATAAAATTGGTTGCTTAAAATTGTATAAAACAAGACGTTCATAAAATGCGTAACAGAATCGCATTGCAAACGTTCTAAATGTGCATATGCCCAAAAGGAATCATAACCTGTTTTTCAATTAATTTATTAATTTTAAACTTGGTTTCCTAGATCAAATAATAGCTCTGGTGTTGCGGACTCCGCCAAATTCAGCAATACCAATTAATCCTTCACGGTGTCCTAACACTCATTTGGATGCATTTTTTCACTCTAATCATTACTTGGGATTTTCGGGGAAAACATAATTGATGGGATTTTTTTTGAGTGTTTCGTCTTGACGAAAATAGAGCAGGGATAGAAAAAAGAAATTGGAATGGATCAGGAGATGGAATGGATGTGAGCAGTGTAAAAACAAATCAGAGGGAAACGAGTCTGAACGCAAAGAGGATAAGTTTGGAGTGCGTTTTGAATTGGTCGTATGTAATAAACGTAAACAAATTGACGTTTTAATGCTACCAGAAACTACTTTAATGCTTACTTTTCCTAAAATCAAAATTTCGACCCGTTCTGTTTCATTTTCTCATCAAAAAACTATTATGTGTAAATTATTCATTTGATCAAAATGATAACTAAAAAGAAACTGTAGGTAATTAAATGTTCTTTGAGAAAATAATACATTGAAAGAAAAAAAAACTTTGTAAATTCATAGTTAAAAACATAAATTGTTGATTTTCTCAAAATACTAAGCAGGTAACTTCTGTATTTTTAAGTTTTTATTGATTTTTAAAATATAATGAAATTTCACATTTTTTAGTTGTTGCTGTTGAATTTGTTAACATGAACTTTTTTCCTTAGTTCAGACGTTCTTAAGTTAATGCGAATTACAAAATATTAATTATGAAAAATCAAAATTTTAAGCCATTTTCAAATGTTAGTCGATATGTTCAGCTACAAAATGTGTTTACCATGATTGTAATAATAATAGTTTTTAATTATTTATTTTCAGATATGGTGGCTGCCAGACTTGCCCGTTTCTATCTAGGTGCAGTGGAAGAAAAACAAGTGTACAAGTAAATACTCTTCGTAAAGTAAGGAGGAACGGTTAGTGGCGATGGATCATTAGGTCCCGGTTAATATTTCTAGCGCTATTTGGACGGGAATTTGATACGCAAAATTTGCGCACAGAAATTCCATCAGCCAGCAGGCGGCTTCCTTCTCCAAACTCATGACCAGCCCCAGCCAAGAGTACAACTTGAGCCGAGTAGAAAAAAAATGAATTCCTTTTCCACCTGTTCAACGAAGGAGGTTCCATTGTCCGGTGAGGCTTTTCCCGGGGCTAGAATCAGCAGTTTGGCACCTTCCATGCTACTATACACCGACACCTGGTTGCTCTTCTCCGTCGGATTCAATCGTTTTAAGTCCGGAAAGTGGATGTACGTTGCCGTCTCCTCCATGATGCGCTTGATGCTTTTGTCCCCGTGACCGATTATGAACGAGTGGTCCATCGTTTATTTTAATGAGATCGTTGAAAACTTACAGCGATTAGGGTGGGTGAGCCAGTAGTGGACGTACAAAGCCAATTTATCAATTAAAAACTAAATATACAATGTACACACAATTGTTAAACGTCAATCTATAGCTTTCAACCTCTTTTTTGATAGAAAATATTACATTGTAATAAATTTGCATAATATTTTAGAAAGATCGTCCTCCAATTATAATAAATAATAATTTTGTTATCACATCAAAGTGGATGCACCTCAAACGTGTCAAAAATATGGAGTAATATTACTTGCCAAAAAGGACAAAATTATCATGAAAACAGTCCATGAACTGACATTACGCTGCTTTTACTGCATTTGTTTAGTTTTGTGGCCATACAAATTACATGAGAATTTCGAGATTGGAGTGCATCCTCTAGGACAACGACAACTTCTGAGCATGAGCATGCATGAGCATGAGCATGATTGACCGCCCACGGTTGCTACTCTGTTATTGCCAGACCAGCTGTAATTACACAGAGAACCAAAAGACGATGCTTGGGACTAGCAATCATCCTCAATGTGTAAAAACTGGTGATCTCAAACTAAGCAATACCAGCGCCAGCCGCGCCCGAACACAGGTCAAGAAAGGAAGGGGTAAGAATGTGTTGACGTGACACTCGCTTTGATGGAAGCCGAGAACACCTCTGCACTTCCACGAGGAATCACTGGGAAATTGGGTAATGGGTATATTGGGTTTGCAGCAGGGTTCGTTTGGTAAACGATAAGCTGAATTGATGTCCTAACAATCATATAACGCGAAGGAGCTTGGGATTGAACCCACGGTCTTCTGCTCAGTAAGCAAAAACGTTTGCTACTAGGCAGACGAGCTCCTTTTTTATCATCGAGTTGCTGTTATTACCACGTACTAATGTTAACAAATAAAACGATTGACGATTCTTGAATGTGGATGAGCTTGAGATTTGACTCATGATGTTCTGCTCAGTAAGCAAAACCGGTTGCTCTAAGGCCACCGAACCCCTCATATCACATTATAGGGTTACTCAAGTTTTTATAACTATTCAAACCCGGCACCGACGACAACGAAAAGTTTTACAAAATACACGATAAACAAGCAATCTTAACAAACATTTTTAATATGAAAGGACCTGGGACCGCATTTTTCTGCTCAGTAATTAAGCCATTGCAACCGACGATCTTTAAAATCCTTAAACTAAAAGCAACGAAAGAGGCCTTCATTAAGATCCACTTTCACGCGACGTTAAATGTTTCGATATTCTCTTTACGCATGGTTCAGGCAATCATTACAAGCTATGACCGACGTGACGATGGTTTAAGACCTGGTTAAACAAGCTATTCAAATGAAATTACGTTCTCGAATTTCACTTGGCATGTAATGAACAAAAGAAATACGCGATAATTCATATTTTAAGCGGTTGGTGGTTAATTTTAAATATACTAACGGTACTAAAGGGTGATACGGTCAAAATTTGGTCAATATCAACTTGACGTATTTCTTTCAATTTTGCATTTAAAAAACCTGAACACCCCTCATTTTGAAGGTGTGTGTGTGTAGAATGTTGCTCCTATTTTGATTTTGGAATTCACTCTTCAGTTGTCAAAATGCCGTCCAAGCAAGAAGAGCAGCGTATCAAAATTTTGCTCGCGCATCGCGAAAATCCGAGCTACTCGCACGCAAAGTTGGCAAAATCGCTAAAAGTTGCCAAATCAACCGTTACAAATGTAATTAAAGTGTTTGGGGAACGTTTGTCGACAGCCAGGAAGTCTGGATCGGGGGGAAATCGAAAACCGGAAGCCGCTGAGACGACAAAGAGAGTTGCCGGTAGTTTCAAGCGAAACCCTAACCTCTCTCTCCGAGATGCCGCAAATAAGCTGGGTGTATCGTCTACAACCGTGCATCGAGCCAAAAAACGAGCCGGACTATCGACTTACAAGAAGGTAGTGACTCCAAATCGCGATGATAAACAAAATACGACGGCCAAAGCGCGATCCCGGAGGCTGTACACGACGATGCTGACGAAGATTGACTGCGTGGTAATGGACGACGAAACCTACGTCAAAGCCGACTACAAGCAACTTCCGGGACAGGAGCTTTATACGGCAAAAGGAAGGGGAAAGGTAGCAGATGTTTTCAAGCACATGAAACTGTCAAAGTTCGCAAAGAAATATCTGGTTTGGCAAGCCATCTGTACCTGTGGCTTGAAAAGCAGCATTTTCATAGCTTCCGGGACTGTCAACCAAGAAATTTACGTGAAAGAGTGTTTGAATAAAGGTCTGCTGCCTTTCCTGAAGAAACACGGTTGTTCCGTACTGTTT